AACAGCTTTTGGTGCCGAAACCCGGGACAACGTGTTGCAGAGTAGGACTTTTGTGGAGTCGGAAGGAAATAGAAAGTCTTAGTGTTTGTTCGTGAGAATAAAATGTCTGTGAAGTTGGATGGATTTATGCGTCCGTACCGAGGGCGAGGTGACGACCTAGATGTATTCTGGTCAAAGTTTATGATCCTGGCGAAATCCCACAAGTGGGATACGGGCAAAGAGCAGATGGCAAACTTGCCGTTGCTCTTGGATAAGGCTGCGTATACTGTATTCAACGCCATGCCCGACTCGGACAAGGAGAAACCTGACGAGGTGAAGAAGGTGTTGACTGAAGCCTTTGCTCCTTCTGCTGCGGAGTGTTACCGCTTGTTCAAAGCGCGTTCCATGGGATCCACAGAGTCAGTAGACGAGTATGCGGCGGAGCTAAAGAGGCTGTTGAAGAGCTCTGGTCACAACATTGCGGACGACAAAGATCCGATGCTGTTAGAACAGTTTGTTGGGGGCTTGCCCAGAGACTTCGCCAGAGAGGTGAGAATCCAGTGCTCTAGCGGTAGCATGACTCTTACCGATATGATCAAACGTGTCAGGGCTATGTCCGTCGATGATACTATAAGTGTCAGTGGAGGGAAGTCCGTGGCTGCAGCCGTCAAGTGCTATTCATGTAAGGAGCCTGGTCATGTAAGAAGGAATTGCCCTAAGGCCAAGGGCAACAGCCACACCACTGGCAAGTCACGAGGGCCACAGTGTTACTCTTGCAAAGAGTATGGCCACATCAGGCGAAATTGTCCAAAGGCCAAGACTGAGTCTGCTTCAGTGGCTGTGAGTGCTGGGCATTGTCAGGCTGGAGTGTCTACTGATGCTGACGGAATCCCAATATCAACTGGTGGGCAGAGCTCTAAGCTGCTGAAAGTTGATGTGTGTGTTAAGGGCCATGATGACTCTTGGATATCAGTCGCAGCGGTTGTGGATACTGGATGCACGCGATCTCTGATGAAAGAGAGTGTAGTAACTGCCGTGGGCCTGGCTGATCAGGTGGAATCGACAACTGACTGGGTGGTCGGCATCGACGGCACGTCCCTGGAGTCAGTTGGATCTGTTGCTGCGACTGTCCAGCAACATGATGATATAGTTCAGCTTCCGGAACTGTGCGTGGACTTCCTGGTAGTTTCAAAGCATGAGGGAGTGGATGCTGACCTGATTCTTGGCAATGACGTTGCCAGCGCGGCTGGTGGTCTTGAGATACGCTACCAGAATGGCTCGGCGAGTGCCATTCGGTTCGGAAAAGGGCCCGATGTAGCGGCTGCCGCAGCTGGCCATGCTGAACGAGCGCCGAAGCAGAAGCTCTCGAGGCACATCTCTGTTGAGCGAGATTCGGATGGTGTCACCCTCAGTTCAGCCGATTTCAAGGTGCGCTGGGACAATAGTGCAAAGTCGTGGACCGTCGCCTGGGTCTGGGGAGGTGGTGTAGAGCCGACTGATAGCATTGGCTCCGGAGTGACACAGTACTCACGGAAGAAGCTCTCTGCAGAGCAGGAGCAACAGTACCAGAAGGAGGTGCAGTCGTGGATCGACCATGGTTGGATGGTGCCCCATGATCCAGATCGACACGGCAAGTCAGGTGCGATCCTCCCTCTAATGGCTGTGTGTCAAGGACACAAGGCGTCTACGCCTGTACGTCCCTGCTTAGACTACCGTCGTTTGAATGAGGCGATTCTTTCCCATCCTGGAGGCGACGCGCCTGCATGCGACCAGAAGATCAGGGAGTGGAGACGCCGTGGCGGTGACCAGGTAGTCGTCGATATCAAGAAGGCGTTTTTACAAGTTCACGTCGACCCCAGCCTCGTTCGGTATCAGACCGTGGTATTCAATGGAGTCACGTATGTCATGGAACGAATGGCATTTGGTCTCAGCATAGCTCCGAAAGTCATGGACGCCATCGTGAAGTTTGCGCTGTGCGACTTTCCTGATGCAGACAACTATGTCGACGATGTCGTTGCTCCGTCCGAACAACTTCCGGAGGTGACTGCGGCGCTGAGTCGGTACGGATTACCGACGAAGCCACCAGAGGTACTTGCCGGCGCAAGGGTGCTTGGCATGCAACTATCGGTTGCTACGTCGAGTGAAGACGTGATGTGGCGTCGCCGTGATGGCATGGATCTGACGTTGCCAGAGCAGCCGACGAAGCGAGAAGTGTTCTCCTGGTGCGGTCGATTGACGAGTCATTACCCTGTTGCATCGTGGCTGCGACCGTGCTGTAGCTACATCAAGCGAGTGAGCTGTGAAGATGCTGCGGTTTGGGATAAGCCTGTCTCAGCTGCGCTTGAGAAGTTGTGTCGTGCGGTGGAGGATCAAGTTTCACGAGAGGATCCCGTCAACGGCAAGTGGACAGTCAAGTCGACTGGTGGCGTGTCCCTATGGTGCGATGCATCCAACCTGGCGCTAGGTGTTGTCATCAGCGAAGATGGCTCCGTGATTGAGGATCACTGTTGGCTCAGGCCTAAGTCAGACAAGCGGCACATCAACGTTGCCGAGTTAGACGCCGTCCTTCGTGGCTTGTCTGCTGTCGTGGATCACAGAGTGGCCAACGTTCGAGTCATGACCGATTCGAAGACGGTGCATGGATGGCTAAAGTCTCTCTTGGGCAACGTCCAGCGAGTGAAGGTGAATGGCCTCTACAGAGCTCTTGTAGAGCGTAGATTGCAGCTGATTGACGACTTGGTCGAGGTTTACAAGTTGAAGATATCTGTCGAGTGGGTGCCTTCACAGAAAAACCTGGCTGACCGTCTGACCCGTGTGCCGGCATCCTGGCTCAAGATGCCCGAGTCACCGGTGGTTGCGGCGGCGACCCAGAGCAGTGCGTGTGCAGGTGTCCACAGTTCTGCCCCACTTGCCTTCGACATCATCCGGGACCAGCAGGGAGCAGATACTGCCATCCAGCAGACGGTGGAGGATGTCAACGGTATGCAGACAGTTAGGGCGAAGCAGTTTCAGAAGGTGGCACCACAGCTGAGAGTGCGGGATGGCGTGCTGTATCGGTCAATCAAGTTGCCGCCTGCCAATGAAGCATGCGAGGTGCCCGTGATTCCGAGCTTGCTAGAGCAAGATGCCCTCCGAATCGCCCATGAGAACACTGGCCACGGATCATGGGAGGTGGTCCATGAGATGATGCGTCAGCAGTGCTACCTTCCTGGGATGGCAAGGAAGTGCCAGGAGTTCGTCGGTCTTTGCGACAGTTGTGCCGCTGCAAACCCTGCTGCTGGTGGTCATGCTTCGCCGACACGTCCCGAAGTGCCGGCGCGCCCATGGCAAGTTGTGGCGATTGATACCTTGGAGCTAGGACCGAGCCGAGCTGGGTTCCATTGCGTCTTGGTGTGTACGGATATGTTCACGCGCTATGTGGAGGTGATACCTTTGAAGCACCATGACGCTAAGTCAGTTGCCGAGGCGTTTGTGTCTGTGTGCTGCCGATGGGGTCCGCCGGAGGTGGTCAGATCAGACAACGGAACAGAGTTCGTCAATGCTGTCATGGACGCCTTGTACTTGGCGTTTGGAGTGGAAGTCAAGCACGGTGCAGTGCGACACCCTCAGTCACAAGGAAGCGTGGAGAGATTCAACCGGACCCTGTTGACTCTGATTCGCAAAGTACACTCGCAGTCCAACGACTGGAAGACCGACCTGTCAATGCTGCTGTACTTCTATCGCGTCCGACCGCATGGAGCAACGGGAGTTTCGCCTCAGCTAGCGATGACTGGTTGGCAGCCCCGTGGTCTTGTTGTAGAGGCCCAACAGCCCCTGTACACCTTGCCAGCATGGACGGCTGAGCTGCAGCGTCAAGCAGCTGCCATTCGTGATTTGATCGATGAAGAAATGGCGTCAGCTGATTCCCAAGAAGACGCCGACAAAGCAAGTTGCTGTTACGGGCCTGGTGACGTGGTGATGATGAAGATGACCAGCCGCGCGCAGAAACGCCTCCCGAAGTTTCAGCTTGGCTGGAGAGTCAAGAAGGTGTTGTCGGAGTCGACTGTAGTCGTTCAGAAAGTGGAAGACCCCAGGGTGGAGAAGATCGTCAACGTAGAGCTGCTGAAGCGTGCCGCAGCCAATCCTACTGTAGACCTGCCTGAGCCGCCTCAGCCAGATGATGCGAGCGAGGATGACGGTGGTTACCCGATGCGGCTAGAGCCCGGTGAGCTAGTCGCAGGTGTGCCTAGAGCTGAAGAGCCAAGATATGTGCTCCGGAACAGAGCTGGTATCAGGGCTCCAGTGAGATACGACTGAGAACTAGTAGCTGGTGATGGTTCGCAGAACTTTCATGTCCTTTCGTTTCTCTTTGCTTCTTTCGATGTGCTTGCCTATTATTGTCTTTTTAAGGTGATGTTACCAGGGAGGGAGATGTTGTAGTTTATGGTAACGTGGCAGCCACTGGCTGGAACTGTATTGTTACTTGTGCATGCTCTGCTTGGTATACCTTCTGCGTGATGCCATTTTCCGTGTATTGGTTGTAGGTTAGTGAGTGCGCGTCCGTGCGGTGGTGCATGCTTTTCCATTCACTGATTGACCTGTCAGCGGTCAATCTTCTAGTTGCGGTTTCGGCGTGGTCTGCGCTGCCCTTATTCCGAGTTTGTAGCTTTTGTGTGCATCCTGACTTATGTATGGAGTGTGCTTGCGTGCACGCTTGCTACGCGTTACTTTTGGCAAGCTGGCCATGGTTCTTTTTCGGGCTTAGCTTCCGTTTGATCTTGGCGTGGAGTTAGTTCCAACTTGTGGTGATAACAGACGTTTCTCATTTTCCATCTAGAAGAATAACTAATTTCCTTGGAAGCTCTGTGGTGTTGTGAGTGAACTGGCCGTAAGCCGGCGTGGAGTGCATGTTCTCCAACAAGCTCCTGTGTAGAACTGTCCGTGCATGGAAAAACGGTTGTTAAAAGTAGGTGGTCTCTAATACCACCACTCAGATTGCTTACATCAGCTTTTACTGTATGCTTTTCCTTTTTGTGGTGCAGGCCGATGCCATTGTCAATTCGTGCGGATCAAGTTTGCAGATGAATGGAGCTGGTCCTACTGCCGCAGCTATCAGCAAAGTAGCAGGGTCTAGTCTGCAAAAAGAATGTTCCAATATTGTACAGCGTGAGGGCCCAGTCATGGCTGGTACGTTCAAGGTGACCAAGGGATACAATCTACAAGCCAGCCACGTGTACCATGCTGTCCTGCCGAATTATTCTGGGCATGGTTCAGAGCAGGTAGGATACAGCGTAGTTACTGGGTACAGTGTGCGTGTGTGTGTGTGTGTGTGCGTGCGTGCGTGCGTGCGTGTGTATGTGTGTGTGTGTGTGTGTGTGTATGTGTGCAGGGGCGTACGCCGCTCGCCTCCAGGAGTGGTTCCCATGCCAACTGATGAACCAACATTCCACACAATTGAAGTGCTCGTTTTCGTATCCCACGGAGTTTCTGCACATTCTCCTCAGACTGGGTGAAATTAACATCCACAAGCTGCTGGACGATGTCATTGCTACGCATTTTTGATTTTAAAAGACTGAACTTTTCCCCGTTTTATGGATGTTTTGTTCAGCATGACGATTGCATGCAGTCTTGAAAGCTGCCTAAGTAACTAGTTTCGAATCATCTGGAGCAAACATCACACAGGGCAAGCAGAAGCCACTATGGCCCGCCGGTCAAAAGACTACCCAGGGTAACTCCTCTAACAAGGATAGTTGAAAGTGGCGCTGTTTGCCATCCATCTGGACTTGCACAGGAAATGAAATCCTTCGCCTTCGGTGGCGCACAATGATTGTCGATGACGGAAATCTTTTCCGTGTCGGTCAAATTTCGGGGGACTGGATTCCACTGTGGACGTCGACTTTCAGAGTATCCCTTCCAACACACTCCCATGTCACTGAAGTAAATTTTGGATGATGCAGCAGCTTCCAACAACGGTCGCTTCTACAGCTTCGCCGACGATTTCTTCCTCAGCGCTGCTCGTTGCATGCAGCCTGCGCTTGCAAGTCAGGTGCGTCTGCATTCTCATCTATCTCTTGACCTTCGCCACTAGCACTGGCTACACGCTCTGCCTGCTGCTCAAAATAGCTCTGAATAGAGCGCTGGCCCTCTGGATGTCGACGCTTCATTTCTCTTTTCCACAAAGCGAAAGCACCGTCCAAAACACGACGAACTTTGTCAAAACAAACTGCAAAGGAAAATTTGACTCTGAGACCGAGGAATCCGGCGATGTAGAGACTTTGTTGAACCCAGTTCAGTAGACCATCTCACATCTACGGTATGTCCCAGCACCGCTTTCACACCTGGGCTAGCCACCGTCCTCGGACCGTCAGGCGCGGACTCCAGGCGCTAGGCATGCACTGCACAGCTGCATGCACTCGCACTGCATGTGCTGGGCCTGAAATAGCTGGATCAAAAATATTCCGTACCCATATCGAATTTTGTTTACTGGTTCCCGGGCATCCCGGGAACCGCCCTATGTACGCCCCTGGTGTGTGTGTGTGTGTGTGTGTGTGTGTGTGTGTGTGAAGTGTGTGCGTGTGTGCGTGTGTGCGTGTGTGCGTGTGTGCATGTATGCATGCGTGCGTGTGTGGTACATGTTTGACTTTTATGGTTCTTCCCATGCGTCTCGTCAATATGTTCTACTGTAAAAGCTGTTATTCTAACGAGGCGCATGTAATTATAACGATTTCCCAAAATTGACTAGTTTACGTGTACCAAAGGTAACGATTCTCACTCATTCTCAACTCTCAATAGGACAGTATATGTATCGATTTCTGTATAACGATTTCTATTTTAATGACAGATTTCTCCTCGTTAATTCGTTGGAGTTAGCACTTCGTTATATATAGGGCTTTTACAGTACTTGTCTTCATGGGTATGTTTGTTAGCCGTATTTTAACACCCCCCCCCCCCCCCCCACACACACACACCCACCCACCCTTCCTCCTTCCCTTTCCTACTGTTTAGTTGGCCCTTCTGATACATTTTGGCTCTGCAGATCATTACAAGGAGTGTATTTCATAATCAAACACTTCACAGGGCACAAGCACTTGTTTTCATGATCAGTGACGAATCGTTGTTGCCCACTTCTCATTCTTCTGCTGCTACGTGCTCAGGTGTTGGAGACGGCTGCGATCAACATCATGAGGGATTCTAACGAGAAAGGCCTGGCTTCACTTGCTGTGCCTTCGTTGGGTGCCGGTAACAGTCGCTACCCTCCCGGACGTGTTGCTGAGATTCTCATCGGCTCTGCGGTCAAGTTCAGCAAGTCGACGTCAGTGCCACGATTGCGCAAGATAATCCTGTGCATCTTTGATCCGAACATGCACTCCATCTTCCTAGATGAGATATCAACCACATGCGACAATGGGGCAGGTGATGGCGACTCGAGCCCCGACAGCTCCTATTGTTCAGATCAATACTCCGATGAAGATTTTCAGGCGCCTTTGCAAAACCGTCGAGCAATTCTGGGTGCTCAGTCTGGCCAGCACCGCAGCAGGACTCAACAGCCGGGACCACGGAAACGGACCACGTCCAATCATCCAGCTACACCTCCACTTCACAACGTTACAGTTGCACAGGGTGACATCACGGGCGAGCAAGTTGACGCCATCGTCATCCCTGCGATGAGCAGCCTGGACATGTCCAAGGCGAACATGTCCAAGAATGTAGCAACAGTGGCAGGCCCAGGGGTTCAAGGTGAGCTGAACACGATAAATGGCCGCGGCAAGAAGAAGACCAATCCTGGTCAAGTGATTAAGACCGGTGCTGGAAGTTTACACAGCAAGTACATCCTACACGCCGTTATGGAGTATGCTGAAAAGACCTCTTCACCCACAGACTTCCTCAAAGCCATCGTTACCAAGTGTCTGGATGAGGCCAGCAAACTCCGATGTACCTCAATTGCAATTCCTGCCTTGGGTGCTGGTGGCCTGAATTACTCTGTGCAAGATTGCGTGCAGGCAACGTTTGCAGCCATCGAAGCTTTCGACTCACAGGCTGGATCGAGTACAGTGCAGACCATACGACTTGTGATGTATGACCAAAGGCATGTTCCTCCATTCCAGGCTCACCTGGACCAAGTGCGGTCGGCTTCTGGCGTGACGAACAGACCGGCTACCCGGACACAACGTAGTTTGGTGAATAAACCATCATCCAATGCTGCTGCTGCTGCTGCTGCTGCTGCTGCTGCTGCATGCATTACAACCAAGGTTAAACAAGCTGACATTGCAACAGAGAATGTGGCTGCTATCGTCACAACAGTCATGCCCGATCTGCAGATGAAAAGCTTAGGAATGTCGAAAGCCATCTTAGCCGTGGCTGGTGACTCCGTCCAGAAGTCACTGGATGGCAGAAAAGCCAAGCTGAAAACTGCTGCTACGCCAGGACAGGTGTATGATACATCGGGTGGAAACCTGAAAAACATCAAGCACATCCTTCACGCTGTAATGAACTATGCATCAAAGGTGGTAAATCAAAAGCAATTCATAGAAGATGTTGTCCTGGGGTGCCTGGAGAAAGCAAGCCAGCTAAACTGCCCCTCCATCGCCATTCCAGCACTCGGAGCGGGTGGCCTTGGCTTTGATGTGACACACTGTGCCGACGGCACAATGAATGCCATAAGAAAGTTCAGTGCTCAGTCCATGGCACGGACCAGCTTGAAGTCTATCCTCCTGGTGGTGTACACACCTAATCACCTGCAACCGTTCCAGCTAGCTGTCCAGAGCACCGCACAAGCCATGGTGTCAGTTGGTGCACCGCCTCCATCTCACCCAACCACTCTTCAGGACGAGTTCGAAGTCACCGCAGAGACTATTAGCAGGCAAGAGGAAGTCGATGAGCTTGACTTTGAAGAGGATGATGACGATGAAGATGATGCGCTTGACCAGGACCTGGATACTGATCCAAGGGCAGTACGCAAACAGGATCGACTTGACCGAATGGCATACAAAAACAACTCCGAATTCGAGGAGCAAGAGGTCATCTTCAAGCTCACTGGCCCTGACAGTAGATCCACTCGGTCCACACAGAAGCGAATTCAGAGCCGAATCAGTAGCACTCTGAAATCATCCACCTTTCAACATCCAGACATGGAACTTCTGTCGGCTTCTGATGAAATGCAGATTGAGTTGGGAGCTGAGAAGCGCAGCGTCCTGTTGAGATACAAGGACACTAACACAATTGTCCTACACGGCAACACATCAGACATGGCTCTGGTACAGGCACAAATTGCTGAAAAGTGTAACAGTGCACAAAGTCAACTTCGGCTGGAGGAAAGTCGTCAACGTGAAGCTGGTAAGGACGCCTGTTCAAGGCACACACACACACACACACACACACACACACACACACACACACGCACACGCACACGCACATGTGCATGTGCATTCATGAACATTCATGCATTATTTCCACTACAACTCACCCACAGCCAGGTGCCCGGTACTCAGACCGAGGTGCCCGTAACTTGGAGGTGTTTGCCATAGAGAATACACTCTTCTACAAAAACTTTACAAGGACAAGTTCTGAACATGTGTACAGCCGGCTTGGTGCACAATGCTTGCATTTTCCATTTTGCTTTTGTTTCCGAATGTGTATATTCACACGTGTGCTGCAAAGAAGTATAGTTGATTCTCCCAGATATTCCTCCTTCCCATTGTACCCACTTCAGAAGGTAAAGGCGAAAGGTTTCATTCTAATGTAATGTTTTACCTGTTCAAACTTGCAAATTTGTCTATAATATTTCTTAATAAAAACTCGGATGTCGAGCCAATAGGAGCATGTAAAGAGAAAGGACCAATAAGTAGTTACGAGTTATGACTAACCGTCCACCAAGGTAACGAGATAATATACAGTCAGATAGTACGACCACAAGGTACAAAATGACATGGATGTTGAGACGTTCGCCTCATTGGAACTTTCCGCACCTGAGCCTTCCAAGTTGAAAGGTTGTTGGTTTGCGCTTCGTAGATGTGTTAGAGCTAGTTATCTCAAAGAGTTGGTAGACAAGCCATTGATTAGCCACTCTCATTGTACTTCCTCCGCGTCATTAAAATCGTCGCTTCGCACATCGCAATGTTTGTGACTTGGCTCGTCTTAGTCAGACTGTCGGAATCGCTGTTTTCTGTGTTCGAACATTGGTGCGACCCTGCGCAATGTCTACTTGTTACTGAAGCCGTGATGGTCTCAGACTTTGTCGGAGCTCTCTTCCGCGCCAAGCAAATTCATCGCGCTCCGCACTATTCCGCCCCAGAGCGCATATCGTTTTTTCTGGAGTTCGTGCCGTCCCACATCGTTCGCGTGGGCATTTATCAAGACTGCAAGCTTGGGTATAAGAATCCTGGTATCTCTCCTGAATACGAAATGCTGAAGTTGACGATGGCAAGAAGGTGTTCTCAAATTCCTAAAATGCGCTACTTGTGGCGCATGTTGCTGCGAAGGTAGCAGGTCTGAAAACACCAACAAAATCAGCGAAGCGCTTGCCAAGGAAAGAAGGTGCGGAAGTGCTTACCCTATCCCGCTGGAAGGTCGTTACAGTGTACTTGAAAAATGCTAGCTTGCCTTCATCGCCTGCCACCTGGAGGCATGGATCGCTTGAAAACGAAGTTTCTTGACCTGAATTTGAACGCGTGTCTTGTTCAGCGTATTGTTGAGTGCTGAAGGGTCTGCCTCAAGCTCTGATGAAGACGTCGACCTTAGCTGCAAGTACAGCGAAGCGGGAGGCCACAAACTAAAGTTTGGTCCGTCGACAATGCTCTGCCTCAATTTCTAGCTGATTTCTTTGCCCTTTGAGTGGACAAAATAAATTCGAAAAATCGATCTGGGAAGCGACAATTTTAATGACGCGGAGGAAGTAATATCAAAAAAGTAAAATATTTCTACCTTTATTTATCATATATACCACTCTTTGGTCTAGAAAGAATGCTTTTTGATGCTGCAGTCCATTCATTGGAAACTGGCACCCTATCCTTTTGGTGTCTCCCACACATAGTTGTAGATATCGTGAAAACAACAGTACATCCTGCATTGTGTGACCCGTGCAATTACTCCCTGCCACATTTGAGGCCAGAAAAGTCCAAGAACAGGGAAAAAGAAATTCAGCCAGGTTTTACAAAATCAGGACAGGTGTGCCATGGGAAAATGTTTGGAGAAGCAGATCCCAAACCCAGATTTTTGATTTAAAGTGGGTTTTTGATCCTCAATTCGGCCCAAATCGGACTTTCAAAAGCCAGCGGGACAGTTTCCGATGAATGGACTGTAATTAGCTCACATCCCACATGCACATGCAGATACTAGACCGCTATGAAGTACACAAACACACAGGGCACAGAGTTTGGAGTAATGCGGGTGCTGGCTGTGATTGAGGCAATGTGGCTCAACATAGAGCATGAGAGAGAGAGAGAGAGAGAGAGAGAGAGAGAGAGAGAGAGAGAGAGAGAGAGAGAGAGAGAGAGAGAGAGAGAGAGAGAGAGAGAGAGAGAGAGAGAGAGAGAGAGAGAGAGAGTAAGTTACATTATCCATATAAAAATCGCTCTGTGAGCGGTTCTGAAAAACCTTTACTGGTACTGCCCCGTCGTAAAAGTAAGAAATTAGAACTGGCCCATTGTCCCCCCAAATGCGAACTGATCCACCTAAATCGCGAATGACGGGACCCGAACGCACCAGTAGCACGAGGTCGGGAGGGCACAGGATCACGGCAATTATCATAGGGTAACACCAGTAGTAGCAGTAGAATTTATTATTTTGATAGGGAAGCCTACCGCTAGTACAGTACATGGCCTATGGTCCGGACCAAGGTCCCCATCTGCATCCACAGGTAGGAACCTCGTGCTACTGGTGCGTTCGGGTCCCGTCATTCACGATTTAGGTGGATCAGTTCGCATTTGGGGGGACAATGGGCCAGTTCTAATTTCTTACTTTTACGACGGGGCAGTACCAGTAAAGGTTTTTCAGAACCGCTCACAGAGCGATTTTTATATGGATAATTTCAGCTCTTTTTCCGTTCCCTCCCCACCCCAACCCCGAAGGTAAACATGATGACCATGCGCGCGATGTACTGTATGTAGCCATGCGACTGCAATAACACACTGATACATACCAGCCCTCCCCGCCTCGCTACCCCGCACACAGATACACAAACATGTGTATGCACACGGCACACACACGTGGCCACGCACACATACGCACATGCACACGACACAAACAGGAAATTCTTCATGTATAATGCCATGCAAAGCAGTGGCCACCGTACTTGAGGAAGTCAGTTGTGAAACAAAAATAATTCAACTACAGCGTGTAGACAAGCTGACGGCCAAAGCACAACATAGCAAACATGACATTTGCCCAAGGATTGCAGTTTGCAGACCATGCCATGGAAGCAGCGAATACAGAATGTGATATCATGCAAAGTGACAAGCAAGGACGTGGCCATCATACACCAGAAACTTGCAGAAAGTCACATATCCAACAGATAGAGAAGTGAACAGCAATCTGATACAGCCCACACAGGACAAAGCGGACCTGATACTCGTCCCAGGATCGCAAGTGGCAAACCCTTTTCAATACATAACATGCAGGTGTACGTTAGACGCATGAACATCTGACCGTGTCGCCAGCATACAATGTCATCACATGTTTACCCCACAAGTTACACACATGCACAGTAGAAGCACAATGAAAGCAATGGAAAAGTACGATGTGGTTGCTGAAGCATCTTCACACTTCAAATTCAGACTTCAATGTGGTCGTCACGGGATGATATACCTGCAAGATACAAGTGATGAAGAAAGAAAGCAGAAGGTCGTGAGGTAGGCTACGAGTCACCTACATGTCTGTTCAGGGCTAGTGCACTCACACGGAAAATTGTCATAATCGAGCATTTCCCAAACTGAGAAGTGCAGTGAAATCCACTTGCACCGCAGTATGTTTTGTCAACGTCGCCCGTGCACTCTTCTGTCAAGTCCAAAGTGCTCACATACTTGGCAATGTTTTTTGCAGTGATTAACTTTTATCCTAGTTATGTCACGGGTAACTTTAATGAAGTACCCGCAGGCCGTGTCGATCTGCACATCGTCCACTCTCTCATGTACTTGGCCTGCTTTGTCTGTGTATCCATTTCATGTGCGATCCACAAAATCGACTAGACAGTGGGTGCAATACGCTCTCTACCTGAAGACGTTCTTCTGGCGACATCTCGCCATGTACTTGGTCTGGCTTTGTCTGTGTATCCATTTCATGTTCGATCAACAAAATCTCAATGCACTACAGAGACTAGACAGTGGGTGCAATACGCTCTCTATCTGAAGACGTGAACCATTAATTTTTTTGGAAAAGTTAAACGTACACTTGAAACGTAATGAAGTACAGGAATAGAGAGAGTGACTACAATACGCTCTCGACCTGATATAGTGATAACGTGAGTACAAGACACTCTCCACCTGATAACGTGTTAGAAGGTAACATGTCTACAGTCCCACCGTACCCTTCCGACACGACTGTAGACCATTACATTTTTTTGAGAAGTTATACGTACACCTTAAACGTAATGAAGTACAGGAATAGAGAGAGTGACTACAATACGCTCTCGACCTGATAACGTGAGTACAAGACACTCTCCACCTGATAACGTGTTAGTAGAAGGTAACAGGTCTACAGTCCCACCGTACCCTTCATCATTCTTCATTCACCATCGCGCGATACCCTGGCACACACTGGCAACATATCAATGGGGTGCCTTACCGTCGTCTAGAGGAGACGTCTTCGCAGCAATATTTTCCCTCCTGCGCATTCAGTCGCCGACGCGACAGCGTTCACGGGGCCGTTCCAGTTGCGGAAGACATTCGATTCATCGGGCCAATTCAGCAACAGGGCCGTGGACACACAGGGGGCAGAGGAGAGACATTGTTAGTGGACAAGAAATATGCAGTGGCAAGTGGCGAGTGCCGCATGGATGTCAAGTTGTCATGCACAATTCAGCTATTACTTACGGTCCAGCTAGTCCTGCCATTGCTCGCTCGTCCTGGTTCCTCCTCGGCCGTCTTCCTGCGCGTCTGCACTTCTCCTTCCCCACCGTTGGCTTTGCGGTACGGGGGTGCCGGAAGGAATTCCCACCATGTATCCATGTACATGAAGTCCCACCATGACTCTCCATGTACATGTCCACGGCCACGTCAGCAGTTTGTATAGTACCGGAAGGAGTTCCCACGATGTCTCCAAAGGCCTAGAGCGGACGTCTTTGCAGCAATTCTTTTCGCCCTGCGCATTCAGTTCGCCATGTCTCCAAAGGCAAAGGCCTAGACTAGAGCCTAGTAGAGGGGACGTCTTTGCAGCAATTCTTTTCACCCTAGTACCCTGCACATCCACTCCGCCGACACGACAGCGTTTACGGGGCCGTTCCAGGTGCAAAAGGTCCACGTCAGCAGTTCTCAACTATTTCGCGTACGGGATAGTCGCCGCGACAGCGTTTAAGGGGTCGTTCCAGGTGCAAAAGGTATCCATCAATGGCACTTTGCAGTATGGGGTACGGAAAAGGGGCCTCCTCGTTCGACTTCGTCGACTTCTGCAGTTCTCCTTCCCGTCAGGGGTACCGAAAGGGGCCTCCTCGCAGTTGTCCTTGCCGTCAGGTCCACGTCATGCAATTCTCAACTATTTCGCGTACGGGATAGTCGTCTTTGTCGTACGCGACATCGGCGTTTACCGAGTGGCATTGGCACAAAGCAGACCGTTGACGGGGTCACGTGTCAAAAAAGTATCAACAACGTGTCGACTACGTGTCGACCACGTGTATAGCGGTACACTCAGCGGTACACTAATTCTCGTGCCATTCTCGTGTCACAAAACTGGAACATCGAGTACCAGTATGGAAAGGCTTCAGACAGGAAGCCTTTCCAATTTATAAAGACAGGTAAGTCTAACAAATGAGGACTGAGACCTCTACAACAGGGTTTTTACGCCTGAAAGCAGGTGCATGATTTAACAAGCAGGTTGTCAGTCTAGATTTTATGCGCAGATGGAGAAAAAGCGCAGAATTGTTGTAATGAGATGAAAAGCAGAAATAATAAGAAAAGATGAAATGAAAGCCTGCTCACAACCCCGCCCAGCCTTGCGAACTGGGTATGGTGGATTAAGAACCCGGTTCAACGCTCGAGCAAGCGCTCTCCACTCAAGGTGTTCACAGCAACTGATAGGAACTCATATGGGGAAATTATAGAAAAGAAATAATAAGATAAAGAGAATAAATTTCAACGCACCTCAATAAACGGAGCCCCACATACAGTACCTCAGAAAAGTGGATCTTCCGACCAGTGTTTTTGTTGACGTCGCAACCAGATGATGTAGCTGCTTCGCAGAGACGTCTTACTGCACAAATTACAAATAAATTTTATTCTTCGATTAGAAAACCCAAGCGCTTTCAGAGCCCTCCGAAGAGAGTCCGGGATGAAACCACGCACACCTACCTCAACCGAAAAAGAAACGACCTGCCACCCGTTTGCTCGGCATTGATCGGCCAGATCCGCATACCGCCTGTCCTTCCGCGAGTTACTGACACTGAATCTGTCCTCAGCACAAACTGTCAACTCCATCCAGAATACAATCCTACGACTCGTAGAGTACAGAACTATATCTGGTCTTAGGGTGG